TTTAAAACTAATATGCCATTAAGCATAACTAAAGCCTAATATCAACATTGAAAAACAAAGTTGGAGTGGGCAGTGTTTCTCCCCACCATGTGGTCCAAAACGTATGATGAAATTCCCTCTTGGGGGCCAAAACGTGTTGATGTGCCCTCTTTGCAGCCAAATTGCATTCTAAAGTGCCCTCTAGCAAGCCAAAAAGGTCACTGAAGTAACCTCTTGGGTGCCAAAACGTGTTGAAGTGCCCTCTACGTCATGGCTAAAAACAAGAGAACTCAGTTTTCGAGGCAGACATTTAGATTTCTCAAACGCGTTTATTGAAAAAACAGATCTGCAGTGAATAGCGGGGGCGTCTAAGGCAGGAGTCTCTGAAGGAAGAGAACACAGGTTAGTGACTTTGCTGGTCTTAAAGTTCAGTCCATGCCCAGAAGATGAAGTTGGATCCAGCCAGTCGGCTGCCAACAAGACGAGGCAGGCAGGCGCGCTGGAAGCTGTTTCAAGCGAGGGGGGCTGATGGCTGGGTTGGAAAACACGTGACGTCATTATGTTGAGGGCTGTGGCTGACGTTTTTAACATAATATTGTAGGCCTACATTTGTCGCCAAAAACTGCCATTTAAAATGCATCGGAACAAAGCATGAACATTTTAAACTTTATTTCTTCTCTTTTAACCATTCAAAACAAACAACAGCTCACAATCAACAGGATCAGGAATACTTGAATGAAACATGGCCTAAATATATCCTAAACTGAGCATTGAACGTCTTAAAAGTCCATTCGACTATGGATATGGGGAATGATTTCATATCTGAAACAAAACACACACACACAAAAAAAAAAAAACTAATTTCATATTTTATCACTTAATAGCTTAATACAGACATAATATTTAGTGATATGCAGCCTTATTCTTGCGTATAGGGGAATTAAAACCATTTCTCACCTCGAAATAGTCAGAAATACGTTTCTGCTGCCTATTGCTAGACATGCCTAAACGAATGTGAGGTGGCGGAAGCTTCCGGGGGAGGAGTAGCCTAGTTTTTTATGAAAT